AATTCATTTAGGCTAAAACGAAACTGAAATCAACCTTGGGTCTCTCATTCCACACAAAATCAAATGTTTTCGTATTCGCAAAGTATTTGAATGGGAAATTATTATTTATTATGTAGCCTAGGCTTCACTCGCGTTCCAATATCCACGTAAAACAAAATGTTTTGCATAACATCACAGCAGTGCGGTGATAACACTTAACGGCACAGATTTTACAACATATTATTTTACTACATTTTTTTTACTAAATTTTTTCCCCCATATGTTTGACTGACTGTATTTTATTATGATAATGAACAGGCTGCATTGTCAAGGTTAGCAATGCTTAACTGTGTGTGCGCATGCGGCACCGGCGCAATCACTTGAAAAGTTCAACTGTGTGCGTGCATGCGGCACTGGCGAAATCCCTTGAATTTTTTTTAACAGTGGAAGAAACTACTCCTTTTAGTCCTAAAGATAATCTGACTTGTAAAAGGTTTGCCTTTATTTGTGTCGCTACATTCTAGATAGAAACAATTCTTTGTGCTTTTGTAAAATAAGCCTAAAGAAAAATAGGATGCCGCTTTCTGCCGTCTGTTTCCTTTCGCGCAGCACAAAAATGAACCGAAACTCTGCATACTAGGCTACTTGTTGCACAGTTTTTCTTTCATTTTCTTAATTTATTAAGTAAAAAGATGTTTCTCGTATAGGCCTATTTATTTGTTATATACAGTATATATATATATCATATATATAATCCTTTCTAATTTAATTCAATTCTAATTTAAAATAATCTTGTCGGTTAACGGTTAACGACTGTCGGTTGTCGGTTGGGAAAAATAGCCGAAATGAACATCCCTACTCACAATGCGATACGATTCACGATATGATTTTCTCATTATTTATTTTTATTTTTTTAACAAAATTAGATTTAAGAAATTATAAATGGAAAAGGTGTCCTTTTATTATTGCTTGGACAAAAATGCTGCACATTTCTTTGTGAAATTGAAATGTCAAATAACAAAACTAAATTGAAATTTTAAAACAAACCCCAAATCTAATCAAATAAATAAACCAAAAAATCTCTTCATATAAACAAAGGCTTTGCCTGTGCTCTTTCCATTCAAAATAAGAGGCAACCACTGCATTTGAATCACAATCCTAATGATGCTGTATACATACAGCATGAGCAGTTTTTTAATCTAAATTAGATTGTATGATTTTTTAAAAAAGTCAGTTCCCCTCAGAGATACATTGATATAAACTCCCACCCCCAAATGTATCTCAACCAATTTGAATCATCACATATTTGTATCGATGTTCAACCGGCTTGCAGTGGATCGTTACATCCCTAATCCTTGGTGTTAAAGACCATGAATAAGAGGAATCTAGGCAAAATAGAAAGTGTGCTGCTGTTACTGGTATGATTGATATGGTTAAAACCCAATTTAAATTAGATTAAAGGCACTCTCTGTAACTGGGCCACTTCAATGTGTCATCAGAGGTGTTGTCAGTGCTTATTACACCGCAGATGGAGAGACAACCTGCGCTCCTCCGGGGTATTTCAGAGCTTGGTTCAGCTAAGGATGGAGGCTGATGGAGACCAAAAGCAGTGTGGGGGTTGCTTTGAGCACTCCTGCCGTAATTTACAACATTAAAA